AGCCCGACGATCTAGCCAGCTTTCTATCCACCTTACAGTCCATTCATCCAGCCCATACTTCTTTAACCTGGCAGCAAGAATACTGTGGGAGACCGTATCAAAAGCTTTGCTAAAGTCAAGGAATAACACATCCACTGCTTTCCCCTCATCCACAGAGCCAGTTATCTCATCATAGAAGGCAATTAGGTTAGTCAGGCACGACTTCCCCTTGGTGAATCCATGCTGACTGTTCCTGATCACTTTCCTTTCCTCTAAGTGTTTCATAATTGATTCCTTGAGGACCTGCTCCATGATTTTGCCAGGGACTGAGGTGAGGCTGACTGGCCTGTAGTTCCCCGGATCCTCCTTCTTCCCTTTTTTAAAGATGGGCACTACATTAGCCTTTTTCCAGTCATCCGGGACCTCCCCCGATCGCCATGAGTTTTCAAAAATAATGGCTAATGGCTCTGCAATCTCATCCACCAACTCCTTTAGCACCCTCGGATGCAGCGCATCCGGCCCCATGGACTTGTGCACGTCCAGTTTTTCTAAATAGTCCTGAACCACTTCTTTCTCCACAGAGGGCTGGTCACCTTCTCCCCATATTGTGCTGCCCAGTGCAGCAGTCTGGGAGCTGACCTTGTTTGTGAAGACAGAGGCAAAAAAATCATTGAGTACATTAGCTTTTTCCACATCCTCGGTCAGTAGGTTGCCTCCCTCATTCAGTAAGGGGCCCACACTTTCCTTGACTTTCTTCTTGTTGCTAACATACCTGAAGAAACCCTTCTTGTTACTCTTAACATCTCTTGCTAGCTGCAACTCCAAGTGTGATTTGGCCTTCCTGATTTCACTCCTGCATCCCTGAGCAATATATTTATACTCCTCCCTGGTCACTTGTCCAATCTTCCACTTCTTGTAAGCTTCCACTTCTTGTAAGCCTGGACATACTTTCTATGGAGCATAGTTCTTACTGCTGTGAATAGCCCTATTTAATTGTAGTAGCAACCACTATGCCCTGTATAGGACTTCCATAGTGCTTTCTATCGAGGGTCTCAAAGAGATGTACAAACCTGCTCTGGGAGGCAGGTTGATATTAAAATTCCTTTGGGGAAACTGAGGCACAAAGGGCTCAATTGGTTTGTTCAAGGTCACAGAATTAGTCTTTAATAGAGCCCAGGTCTCCGGACTCCATATCTTATGCTTTAACAACAAAGCCATCCTTCCCCTCACTAAACTAGATATTTTAAAATATATATTAAGCTTGCAGAGCGATATTTATTTAGTCATTTAAAGTGTAAAACAATTGAAGATGCTGAATGCTCTTTAAAGGTCTGATCCCGCTTCCAGTAAAGTCAGTGGCACAATTTCCCATCGTCTTCAACAGAATCAGGAGTAGGCCAAAGCCGGGATTCCACTGGTCACTGTAAGTGTTTGAGGGAAAGCGAAGGTTACCTCGTGGACATATTCCTTCCTCCTTGGTCCACCCCCACGAGCATAGAAAAATAAGAGGTCACCCCAAAACAAGCAGCAAATGGATGCCAAAAGAAAATCCATGTGAAGGATACTTACTAAAGAAAATAAATATATAACAATATAGGAAGCAATATCACAGCTAGAATATTGGTTGTCAAAGAGGCTTTTTAAATGGCCTTTCAGGCAGATAGATATCCCAACCCACGCTATCCCATGACACACATAATACCACCATGTTGTTGAAAGCATCCCACCTTTCATCCAAGGAACTCCCAGTGTTCCCAAACATTCATTAATCCCCCCAACTCCCCTGAGAGAAGGTGACGACTATTCTATGCATCTTACAGATACGTAAACTGAGGCAAAGAGCTCTTCCCTGTCCTTTCCCAAAGTCAGTCAGGGGTAGAGCTGAGAACAGAACGCTGGAGGTCCCAGTCCTTGTAGAAATGATGTTGGAGCAGAGCTATTAAGTCCATCTTCTTGCCACTGCAGGAGGATTCCCTAGTCTCCACTCTCCGGTGCTCCGCACAGTCTAGTTTTCAACGTCCCAAACAATGGTGTACCCACCACTTCCCTTAGAGACCACTCCATGATCTAACAGGGGACCCTCAATCCCATGCTAATTCTGGAGCTCATGGACCACCTCCATCTCCCTCTTTCGCAGCAGGAAACAACTCACCACGCAGCCCAATTTTCTTCTCCGGCACAAGGCAAGCAGGGAGAAGACAAATCATGGCCTGATTGCCCAATACATGCACCTCCAACAGCTGGGGGCATCACAAATCAAAAGATCAGTCCTACCTGGCATGTCACCTTCGACACTAACCTCCCAGTATTGTATTGGCACCACAGGAGAGCAGAAGTCAATGGGTCATCAAAATGTTAGTGCAATGAAGTTGCTCTTCAATTCTGTTACTTAACATAACCACCTTTCTGACAGTTACTACATCCCAGCTTCTTTATTTTGCAACCGGCCATACAGTTCTGATGAGACAACAGCACTGACAACCTGCAGATTCTTTAGCCAAGAGGCCTTCTTCAGACTGTTGAAAATGCAGAAATAAATGCATTAGGGCCGAGAAGGTGACGTGGTCAGAATGGCAGCTCTTACCTGGCTAGCTACAGCAGCCTACGCACTTTCCTTTAACCCTCTGAGCCAGATCCAGGAAGGAGCAGAGCACTCTCGGCTCTCAGCAAAATCACTTGAGGTTGCTTAGAACCTTGCAGGATTGTGCCTTTTCTTGATGGACTAAAACGTGCAACCTATTTGCTGATGTGGTACCATCTGACTCCAGATGACAACCCCATGAAATTTACCAGTACTCTTCATGGTATGTACTTTTTTATTTTGTGACAGTTATTTCACTAAATGTTATATGTTCATGCTGGTCTATATACATACATAAATTAACTACAGGTCTCCTGATATTTATGTTCTTAGCCCATTCTTCTCAACAGCAATTTATATGTGAGGTTTCTTCTCTCTCTCCCAGCAATCGCAATTGTAAACTTCTCTTTGTGATAATAGCTAAAGAGCAGACAGAGCCTGCCTCTTGAATGGCAAAGGATTTGCCCCAGAAAAGCCTACTTTTAAAAAAAAACTATTAAATGTTCATTAGAGAGCTAAGTATAACTAGCATGTCACATAGCCTTTAATGGGAAAAAGGTCTATTAACCTGATGAGTGAGTACCTATATAGGGAATCTGAATCATCTTGAGATATGCATTGCGTATATTTATAATCCATTGACCAAATTGGAACCTGTCCTAAGGAGAAATTCGTTGTTCATTTTCCACTGCACCACAGGGTTCTCACCACGTCCTGGGCCATGGTGTGGTGGTGTGGTGTCTGAGAATTAAAGCCTAACTAAGGGCCAAGCTCACATCCCAAACCTAGTCAAAATCATTCAATGCAAACAAACAAAATCAAAGATCATCAAAACATGAAATTTTAAAACCATATACCAGCTTTTCTAGATGGCAATAATGAAATTCCAGGGCAAGAAGCAGTAATAAATAAACCAACACTTTCCTGTTGAACTAATTTGACATCTGTATGTGAAAATAATGTGATGAAGTCTAAGATATAGAGTATTTATACAGTACAGAACAAATACAATTTGTTACTTTAAGAAAAACTAAATATGGTGGAAGAAAAAACTTCAGAAAATTAGAACACCATTTTGACAGATGCCAAACTTTTCATAGTTATTGCACATCCCTGCTAGCCAGTCTATTCCAAAATCCATAAACATGTCAACAAAATATCTGTCTCTGCATTTATAAACATGTTATCTGCTGTAGGAAAGCAGTGCATCGGATGCAATTTAGGGGCTACAGAGTTAATGGGGCCAGAAATTCATGCTATTACAAGGTCTTTCATTCAGTAGATTGGCTGCAGTTATCAAAGAAAAGCAAGGACAAAAAGAAACATTAAATATGAAAAATATAAGAGACTGACAACAAAATACTTTAGTGAGCTATAATGCGACTGAAACACAAACAAAAAGAACAGCGAAATCCAATTTCAAAACAGACTCTGAATTCAATCGCAAATTGTATCAAATCAGCTCGTGTTTATTTGACTTTCTGACACCAAGGAGCGTGTTATGCAGCTGCACCGTTCCACCAGAACCCTGGATGCTATCTCCCTAATCACCTGCATGCTTGTACTGCAACCAGCCTAGAGGTGACGGATGCAGTCAATACGGATTGCCATTGAGGTGTTAGAGCACAACTGACAACGTCCAGCAGGAGTAAGTTACCAGGATAGGTCATCGTCACAACTGAAAGAAATTCTGTTCCAGGCAGCATTCGCACTCTTCAAGGAAATCGAAGATCAAAGACACAAATGGGGTTCACCTCACAAGGTTGGCTAGTGTTCCCTCAAAAAAAAAAAAAGAAAGCAGAACAACCCACAGGAACAGAAACGATCCACATATAGAAAAACAGCCACCGACAAAGTCAGCTTGCAACCCTCGAGTTACATTTCTGTGGCTGTTGACATGGGGCAGCGAGGAAGGCGTTGTTTACATGAGTTGCGTGCCTGCCTTACACTAGGAGAAGCAGCGTTCAACGTGCAGATCAGGAGTTTTTAAAACAGAGCAAGTCATATTCAGCAAATCAAATTCAATGCCCCACCCCGCACCTGCTCCCCTCGAGTCTCCCCTCCCCAAATCAAGCCTGCCAGCATTTCCCAGTCACTAGGGGGAGAGACAAACGGTCTCCAGGTTCAGGTACCTATTCCTGACCCAGAACCCCACAGACACAACAAACACACGACAAATACTAAACTTTCTTTTTTTTTTTTTACGTGTAACCTCAGGGCGATGCTGGGATGGCAGGTCTCCAGCAGCACATGCCAGCCACCAAACGCAGTTCCCAAACGGTTTGGTGGTGCGCTAGGCAGAGGGAGTCTGCTGGCTGTCCATTCCCATCTGCCTGGCCCCCAGCAGCCTCCGACACCCCACACACCCAGACTAACCCCCCCTAATTCCCGCAACAGCCGTAGACTGTAGAGGAGAGGAAGGCAGCCCCAGGCAACTCACCGCAGTCTGCGCACAGGATCCTGCCCACATCCTTTTTGAGGTTCTTGCCGCTGGTGTCCAGGGGGGCGAAGGATGTCCTGAAGACCAGGGGCTGCTCGGTGGGTTCCAGGAAGAAGATGTAGCGGTGGTTCCGCTTCACTTTGAAGCAGGGCGCCGGGGAGCCCGCACTGCCCACGCTGATCAGTTGCTCGCGCTGCAGCCCCCCGCTGTTGCGGGGCCACAGGTCCAAGACTTTCACCAGGACCCCCCCAGCGGAGGCAGGGGGCTCGCGGGTGCCATTGCCACTGCCGGGCGGGGGGGGGCAGCGCCTGCACCTTGCCCTCCACCACCACGGCCGCGGTGTACGCCTGGTCCTGCACCGATTTGAGGCTGGGGGAGTAGCAGGCGAGAGACACCCCGAAGAGCAGCATGGAGAAGCCGGGGGTCGGATCGCGCCTCATGCCGTCGGCTGCGGCGGCTGCTGCGGCGCCGGCTGCTGTCCGGGCTGCAGGGCTGCGGCTGCTCGGGAGGCGCAGCGGGGCGGGCGCTGCTGCTGCTGCTGGCGCACGGAGCCTCCTCCAGTCGCGGCGCTGAGCAGCAGACCTGCCGCATCTGGCCAGGCCATTTGGGGGGCTGCCGCTTCGCCGCCGCTTCGGGAGGGGAAACAGAGGCGCTGGAGGACCGGAAACAGCGTAATCTCAGCGCCCGCTGGCCGGCACCTCCCCGGGCGGCGCAGCAGCCTCCCCAGGCACCAGGGCGCGGAGCTGCGCGGCGCATGGACCGTGGGGGCCCTGCCCCCAAGCACCGGAGGAGGGAGCCGGGGAAGGCAGGGGGCTGCTCGCCCGCGCCGGGCAGGGGACCCGAGTGAGCTCTGGGGCCCCGAGGGGATGCCCCGGCCCCCGCAGAGCGCACCCGGCTTGTGCTGACCTGCTTCGCTGGGGATCGCGGTTCCCCGGGGAGCCCCTTGGCTGGGCAGGGTCTAGCCCCGCTGCCCCGCGCGGCCCCTGCCTGAGTCCTGCCTGGGCCAGCCAGTCCCAGCTGCTGGGCAGGTGAGTCCCAACGGAGCAGGTGACTGCCCCGATCCCCGGGGATCTTGTCCCCAGCGCCCTTCGGAAGGGATCCCGGGGAACCCTGAGCGCGGCGCTCTATGCAGGGAATCTCCGGGATTCCCTGCCCCCCGGGAGAGCCGGTGTCAGCGCTCCCCGGAACCTCCCCGCCCGGAGCCCGCTCCCTTGGGGGAGGGTGTCGGGGACTCCCCGCCCCCTCGGGGATGCAGCCCTCTGCAGGGCTGGGCGGGGACGCCTGGTGTAGGGGACCCCCGTATGGCGGGTGGGGGCTGCAGGGATAGTCGCGAGGCAACCCGCGGTCTCCCGAGCAGATGCTCAGCTCAGGGCTTCCCTTGGCGGCCCCTCCAGAAGGTGCCACATTGATGCGCGCTCAGTCACCTACCTCTATGCCATGCCTCGAGCCCGAGCGTCCCCGGGAGCTGCCCCGCGAGCCGCAGAGAGCCCCGGGCAGCCGGACTGCCGATGTCTCGCCCCTCAGCCTGCAGCAAGGACACGAGGAGCAGGTGGCTGCAGCACGCGGGGGTGGGTGGGGGGAAACCTACCAGTAAGTCACTGGGTTTACATTTGTGTTGCTAAAGGGCCTGGCTGACTCCCCAGCATTGCCCTGTTCTATTGGTGCGACTTGCAATTGCAAGAGGGGTGGGCTGGAAATGCGGGCAGAACCGATCTCGCCTAGAGTGGGGAGGGTGGCCGGGAGGGGGGTCCCCAGGATGGGAGGAGGGAGGGAGAACTAGATAGCTGATTTCTGCAGCCCTTGGCATTCCGATCACATCCTCTCAAGACCTGCCCATCTCCACACTGCATTACAGCTCCGGTCAAAACACAAGCATTTCCTTCGTCAACCCGACAATCCGCTAAGCCACATTCGGGGCAGGAGGAAGCGCCGTTTAACCGGTTGCAACGGAATATTATCTAGTTCAGCTGCTGCCGGGGCACCAGCCCTGCAGATTTCACAACTCCAAGCTAGCAACGGGGTTGGGCAGCCCTGCCCTACACATCTACTTTCCTGTCTCAGGATTACTTCGGAGCTGGAATTTTGTGCATGACACCCCAGTCAAATGCAGCTTAAAAAAAAAAAGAAACTGGCAAAAGAAAAGATAGCTGCTGAAGAGAAAATGGCTTCTTTCATGTGGTGACCCCTGCTGTCTCTTCTTAATAAACAAGCAAGATAATAACAAGACTCTCCCACTGCAGTGGGTTTTCAGGAGAAGGCAATTTAAACTCAGAAAAGTTGTTTATTTTGAAAGATGATGCTCCCCTGTCTGTATTCCTTATAATCCCATAGGAAATCATTGCTGAAGGTGCCAGCCGCAGCAGTTTAAAAACAGTAGTTAATAGCAGAGGATTTTCAAAAAGGCAAATTCTGCCCCTGGAATCCCCAGCCAGTGGGTTCCCATTGTTGTGGTAATTGACGCAAGGGGGTGAGATAATCGCATACATTGTGATCCCTGCCTGCTTTGCTGCCATCTGTCATTGACTTCAGTTGAAGTGGGATCAGACCCAAATATGCGCATTGATATTATTATGTCAGTAGAGTTCTTGGCAGCGATACAATACACAGATAAAGGCAGGGGCCCTGCCCAACCAAGCTTACACTCTAAAAGAAAAGTCAGGCAAGAATTCACTGGGAGACTCCAAAGATGGTTATAGCCAATAATGATTTTGTAAATAAATTGGGGTGATAGATAATGATGGTGTAATATGTACCTTTGGATCCCCGGGGACCTCCATGTTTATGATTGCGAATCTATAGCTTCAAAAAAAAGTGGAATTATCCAGAATGTGTGGAATTAATAAATGTTCAAATTCCTTGTATTCTACCATTTTTCCCATGCAGAGCCGAATTCAGTGTTATGCATGTACATTTCTCCCAGAAGTTACCACTGCCTTTTGATAGTGCATGAGTCCATTCAGATCTTCAGCCGATAGGAAGCCATCTATTTTATTTAAATGCATACTCCCACTACCAAGGATACTTAAAGCATGTCCTCCTCTGGGTAATTCTTCAACTTCAAGCAATGATAACCAGTGTTATCAGGCACATTTATCATACAGTCTCAGAAACATTTTTCATTGTTAAGACCTTTGCTAAACATATTTCTCTTTGACTTTCTGTCCCTCCCCCCCCCCATTCAGATTACCCTGCGTTGTTTCTAGGTCCCGAGAAACCTGCAGTAAGGCCCAGTTCAGCAAGATACTTAAGCACCTGCTTAATTTTAAGCAGGACTAGTCTCATTAAAAGCAAGTTAAGCAGGTGCTTAAATACCTTGCGGAATCAGAGCCTAAGACTCACTTCCAAGAGGCAACCCGCTGACGTTTTTTTCCATTTCTAATTGTTCTGGAATTAAGGCTGGAATTAAACCATCCTTAGCCATACTTAAGTCCAATATAGTTGTTTCGTTCTGTCTTTGTTCAGCACCTAACACAACTGTTTCCTAGTCCGTGAGTGGGGTCCTAGTTGCTACTACAAGAAAGTAACAAAAAATAATTCTAATAAAATGTTCAATGGCACCGTTAGTTAGGCACCTTATTCCCTTAGGCGTCTTTGACAATCCCAGCCTTTGTGCTAGTAGATGCCACCCCTGGAGACTGAAGCCCTCTCTTTACTCATAGAACAGATACCATGTGGGCAGTGGTGATGAAAGCAGTCCTTCTCAAGTGCCCTGCAGGACCATGGCTAAAGGTGATGGGGTGGTTCATGCTTCATGCCCATTCTAATCTTTAGCCTCTCTGCACTGAGACTGCCAATAAAGGTGCCAGTGAATGCCAGCTATGTTGGTGGTTCATGCAGTGTGGACATCTGTCCACTAAGCACTCCCCTAAGACTTACCAGCTTGTCTCACATAGGTCAACAAGCAGCAATAACTCTCAGTTGCTACTAACTTGGACTGGATTTGATCTGGTGACCTAGCCCAGTGGCTCTTGATTTTTTTTCCATAGCAGGACCACCCTGGGACTCCCCCTCCCATCTAGGTGGTGGTCATCCCTCCAAGCTAGCAATATAGGCAAGACACGGTTGTCTTGACCCTCTGGCACTTGTTTGTGACCTCCCTGAGGGTCCTGTTTCCTACGCTGAGAACCTCTGACCATTGGCAGTCCTCTGAGCAATGCAGTCCACCCCCAGTCCTCCACCTTAGGCAACCACTTTAAAGAATCTCTAAAGTTTGTAATACATCTGAGTCCAACATTTAGTCCAAGACCACTTCTCCTAGACCAATGATTTTTGCTGTGTGCTTGCTCAAGCTGGGTTTCATTATATCCTATGGTTCAGATCTTAGTCTAAGAATAACTGGCATGATTTCCTGATGCTTTTAGCAGGCACCAAAATAGTATTTAAAAAAAAATAATTGCAAACCAAACAGCAGACATAGGATGATTGGCTAAAAGAGCAACACGGCTGCTTAGTGGAAGGAAAAGTACAATAATAAAAGCCTGGAAAACACAGTTGTGGTATCTGGTACCTGTTCAATTCCCAGAACGCTCAATACAGTCTCTGCAACTACAGGGATTTATGGGTGAAATTCCTATGGAGAGGGAAGGAAAGTCATATAACAATATACTCAGGAAACCACAGAGAAATATAGGGAGGAGGGGAAATACTTTCCCTGGCAAGGAAGCTGCCAACTGTTTGGAGTCAGGGAACAGGTAGTTTACGGGGAGTGGGGAAATTGCCCTGGCTTCCCTCTTCTTTACCTATAAATCTCTACGCAAATAACTCTTTCCCAAGCATTTCTTTCAGATGGTGATGCAGGCCCAGATCCTCAAAAGTATTTAGGTGCCTAACTCTCATTGGAATCAATGGGAGTCAGGTGCCTAAATACCTTTGAGGATCTGGGCCGTAGATTTCCCCTGCAGGAGAAATGGGTAGGGCTGACCTTCTCCTAGCTGTGCCTAACCAGGGAAGTGGCTTGAGTGGACTAAAATTCAGGTTTCTAATTCCTCCACTCTCTAGTGCTGCAGTAGGAGCAGCTCAGATCTTCAACCATTTCTTCTGAAGGTGTCCCTTAACTCAGACTTTAAAAAGTGACCTTTTTTGCTCTTCAGGGGCATCAAAAACCCAAGTAGGGGATTCCCACGTGTCCTTTTATCAATATTCCTCTCCCCACCCTCCTTATTGTTTTATAGATGGCTGCTCTCCACCCCAGAGATGGTTGCATTTCCATGGGACCATTCTAGTTTGAGAAGTGCTTTAGGGTAAAAAAAAAAGTGCTGGATAAATGTGAATTCATTATTTGTGGCTGCCAGGCCATATTTTATATTGAAAATGGGTTAGATGGGACATTAAGCCTAGACAGTGAGACAATCCCAACTCAGACATTAATGAGATGGAACCTATAAGGGATAATATTTTTCCTTTGTTTACTGGGTAATTTGTCCTCCTTTCCCTAACTATTCGGACACGCTCCATAATTCACTGTTTCCAAGTCTATCATAGCTTTATGTGGCTTTGATGCAAAGGAGCTGGGCAGAGAAAGTCCATTGCATATATACCTTGGGCCATCTGTCTCTTTTAGAGCCTATTTGTGTGCCACCTTCTTGCTTTCTCAGTACAGGCAATCCCTTCTGGTCCACCCTGAACTAAGCAAGGTGGAATCTCCGCCTTTGCAACCCTTCTCCTCAAATAAACATGTTTCCTCTGATATCTGACCCTGGGTCTGTTGTTTTTCTTTCCCTCCTGCCCCAACAGGTTTGTGTCACTTTCTTTATCAGTCAATATCCTCTCTCTTTCTCTTCCGATACCAGACATGGCCTGAATCACAGGGACTGCTAGAGTTCTTTTCTCTTATTTATGTTTCTTGTACTTAGATTAAAATGCCCCTTCAAAATAGGTCTGGGTCCTGCTATGTGGAAAGCCTTAGGCATATGCTGGCCCTGCTACATAGAACAATGGGGAGGGGGTCACCAAGCAAACTATGGGGCCAGCAATACATTAAGTATTTGTGTGACTGATAGCTGGCAGGAGTGGGCAGTTGCTGATTTGCCCAGAGCAGCGGAACCCTCAGATCTGGCTTTGTTCTGCTTAGCCCGTAGTAGGAAGTTACACAGAGATTCTTCTAACTTTGCCATAGACCATAATTCCCCAAAGTTTTTCCCTATGTTGCTAGGAGGAAGGATCATGGATTGCCTTCTCTGGAGATGATTAAATTACTTCTCTGTGTGGATGCCTGAAGGCGCTAGACCTAATGAGCACTAGAGAGTCTATGTCCACTACAAAACAGCAAGATAGGGTTCTAATTCTGGCTGCAGTGAGAGGGTAGTAGAGCCGCCAATGAGAGCTGGCACAAGGGGCTAGTAAATTGCCCCATGGAACTCATAGCCCCCCGTTAACTATGGGTGTGTTTGCAAACTGGAGCAGCCCCAAGGCTGTAACCCAGTGCAAGCCAGCAGATAGCCTATTTGGACAGGAGGCGTTCATAGAGCAGGAATGCTGCTAATGAGCATAACTGGCAGCCTTCTGCTGGCTCATTTGCAAGGGATGGGGAGAATATAAACTGGCATCAAGAAAGGAAAGCAAGAGAATTGTAGGTAACTTTATTCTTGAGACTAAGAGACAGGGGGCTGGTCTACACTACGTCGTTCGATTGACATTCCCCGCATTAGATTGAATTTATAATATGCTTGTCTATACTACAGAGCCCTTCCCGCCGACCTAAAGGGCCTTTTAAATCGACATCTGTACTCCACCTCAACAAGAGGAGTAACGCTAGATTCGACCTTCCCGGGTCAAATTAGGGGTAGTGTAGACACAGCACAGTGTATTTCGACTTGTTTGGCTTCTGGGAGGTGTCTCAGAGTGCTCCAATGTGTCCGCTCTGGACAGTGCTTTCAGCTCCACTGCACTTCAGCCAGGAAAACAGGACAAGCCCTGGGAACTTTTTAATTTCATTTCCTGTTTGATCAGCATGGAGAGCTCACCAGCAAAGCTGACCATGGCTGCCCAGGTACGCAAATGTGCTCCAGTGTGGAGCATACAGGAGACACTGGACCTGATTGCTGTGCGGGGAGAAGAGTCTGTGCAGGCAGAGCTCCAAACAAGCAGAAGAAATGCTGACATCTATGTCAAAATTGCACAGGGCATGGGGGGAAAGGCTACACCAGAGACACACAGCAGTGCCATGTGAAAATAAAGGAGCTCAGGCAAGCCTACCAGAAGACAAGGGAGGCGAATAGTCACTCTGGTGATGAGTTATAGACATGCCGCTTCTATGAGCAGCTGCATGCGATTCTAGGTGGGGACCCCACCAGTACCCCAACACTGTCCGTGGATACCTCCCAGGGGACCCAGGCGGCCATGGGCAACAACGAGGAGGACATTGTTGATGAGAAAGAGGAGGAGGAGGAGAATGCACAGCAGGCAAGCAGAGGATCCATTCTCCCCAAAAACCAGGACCTTTTCCTAACTCTGGAGCCAATCCCCTCCCAGCACCCACTGGTATAGGACTGTGATGGCGGGGAAGACACCTCTGGTGAGTGCACGCTTGTAATAACACTATAGGGGTTAAATTCAATTGTGGTTAATGTTTAATTTGAGGTAAACAATTGGGATACAGTGGCGGCTGGTGCAGCCACACAAAGGTTGCTCCCCGGAAAAGCCTGTTTATGTGCCAAGATATTCCACACTAAAAAAATTCCCCAGGTGTGCCCTCACACCACCTACCCTTTCCTGTGTGCTTACCATGCCTGCCTGAAAACCGAAATCTGCTGCCCAGCACTCTGCCATGTGTTGTACC